CAACTGAAGCACTAACAAGTCAATCCAAGTTTTAAGTGTTCTAACTTTCTCTAAAGCCAGTGGGAATTGTAAATCCTGTTTGGGGAATGGTAATTCAGTTTTACTCAAATATAGGAATTAGAAGATACTCGATAGACTTGTCAGGTAGGAGATATAAAAGGAGACATACTGCGTTGATGGCTCTTTTTCCCAGATATTCACATTTTTTTAAGAGTTAAGCTGTGCCCTGCTATGATTTAAAAACAGAAAATCACAGATCCATAGCTTAGGTTAGAGGGGATCTTAAAGACCAGCTAGTTCCAATGCTCTGCTGTGGGCAAGGTTTCACCCACTAGATCAGGCTGCCCAGGATCCTACCCAACCTGACTGGGGCTTTGCTGGAATTAACCAGATCATAGAGGCTGTATGTTTCAGACTAGCACTCCTATGTTAGATCCGGAATGGTGTTTGCAGAGGAAGAGTGACAAGCATGCAAGCCACTGTATCTGGCTGTTTTTGTTGTTGTTGTTGTTGTTTTTGTTTTTCCTGCTGTTTATGCTGTTAGATCATTGTGGTACATGTTCTAGAGTCTTAGGCCCACACTGGTGTTGTGGCTGCTGTTTTTCAAGTGCACAGCTGCCAGTCTGGAAATCATAAATTGCTGTTGACTGAAATGAAAACGGTCATTGTTATCATACATTTTATCCCTTCTGCAGCAGTTCTCTTTTAGGTGAGGACATACTTTAGAATAACGTCTACAGGAGCTGTTCTCACAGGATTTTGAAGCAGCTGCAGAGGGACAGATACTGAAGCTCTAAGTTCAGAGCTCACAACCTGCATGATCTCATCCCTCTCCCCACAGCTTTTCAGGAAATCCCGTGTAATACCCAGTATGCCTTATATTGGCATGTTCAACCCACGTAGTGAAAACCACTGGTGATAGGTGGATGGTTAGACTGGAAGATCTTGTAGGCCTTTTCCAATCTCTGTGATTCTGTGATTTCAACACTGTCCACTTCAACTTTGTAGCAGCTTCCTTGATGCAAGCCTATCACCTCCCTCATACTTACCTACACGACACAAAGTTTAATTCCCCAGAGGCTAATCACTGATACCAGCTGATACACATTCACCCAGGCCAGGAGAAGAACAGAAACCAAAGGGAATTTTTTCTCTCACTCAAGTGAGAGACTTCTACTTTCACTGGGACATCTACACATCTGCTTTTCCAGAAATTGTTAGAAGAATGCTCCTTAACCATCTCAAGATGGAGCTTAGATGTTCAACTTCTAGTGCGATAGAGGCCCGATAGTTGGTGACAACATGTGGAGGAGGCAGACAGGAGAACACCCAGAAGCAGTAGTAACTGTGAATTTCTGTGGATTTTCATTTCCATAATGACAACAGCAGGGAAAAGGTCTGAAGTGAATCCAAGTGAATGAGAACATGGATCTATCCCTCCTTTTAAGGAAGAGATCTCCCAGAAATCCACATCTGGGAGGTAGGGAAAGGTAGAGACTGGCAGAAAGGCACTGAGTAGCTCTGTCTCTAAGGTGAAAATGTGTGTGCCAGCAGAGTGGTTATGTGAAATCCAGCAGAAAACAGAGGGGATGGAAGATACTCTGGTTTCTTTGAAGAAATTTGTTCCAGGAAATGGAATAATTACATGATACAGTAATGTGCCCTAAGTGGCTAACAATCTGAGCCTAGCGCACTGCAGTTAGAATTACTATCACAGCTCATCATAGATTTAAGTATCAGGGGCTGCTTGTGTCCTACTTTTCTCCCTCCACTTGGAAGTCTCTGTAAGCTGGCGTGCTTGCAGGGCATGGTCAGGGGAGTGGCAGCTGATTGGGGGACGTTCAAGCATGTACTCTACATCAAACAAATGGAAATTCTGTGTGGACCATCAAAAAGTGCAGTTTCATAGGGTGTTTTTAGAAGTGAACTTGGAAAACAAGTTTCATTGCTCAAAAAACACGAAATGGAGAAGCCTGAACTTTCACCAAGCCTGCAGCATGTATGATTTTAGGCTCTTTTGACGTTAAGGAAGACAGCTGCACGTGTTGCAGGATAACGGGGCACTTGTTTCTCTTTTTTACCATATATTTCTGTGTAGCGTATAAAGAGGTAAAGCTACTTAGCAGCGTATCATCTCCCTACCAAAGTGTTGTACTCCTCTCTTGGTGCCGTCACCGCGGGAGTCTTTGTGCTGTCTTCTGAGCCACCATGTTGCGCTCTGCTTGGCTGCCTCTGCCTCGCTGCGTCCCCTCGCTGTGTCCCCTCGCTCTGCCCCCTTGCTCTGCAAATCTGCTCACAATCAGGTCCGCTCACGGTCACTCTGGGACGCGCAGTGCGGTCCGGCTGTGCGCGCCCGGCCTCTCCCCAGCCTGCCGCAGGCACGCACGGTCCGGAGCCAGACTTTGCGGCGTTTCCCGCCCTGCCGCCCCGTGCCACTGCCTCGTCCCGGCCGCGAGCGGGCTCCGTGCACCTGCGGCTTGCAGCACGGCTGCCGGAGCCGCGGCTCAGCTCGGATCGGAAGGCCGGCGCGGGGCAGGGTCTCGGCTCCCAGCGGGCCGCTCGCCACGGAGGGGCGGCTCTCGGGGTCCCGGCGCGGGTCTCGGCCCCTCGGCGCGGCGCTCCCTGCTCCTGCCCACCATTTTCTTACAGACGGGCACCGGCGAGGCGAAGCGGCGGGCGGGCGGCCGCCTCCGTCTCCCTCCCCTTCTCCTCAGATGCCCTTTGCAGCCGCTGCCGCAGGGTTATTATTACAGTATGTGGTTACTCCCTCCCCCGCGCCGCTCCGCTCCGCTCCCGGGCGCTGGCGGCGGGCCGCGGCCGTTCAGCGCGCCGGTCCCGCTCCGCGTCTGGCCGCCGCCCAACCCCGCGCCGTGCCGCCGCCAGGGGAGCGCCGGACCCCGCGCGCGCGGTGCGGCGCGAGGGCACCAACGGCCGCCGCACCTCGCCGCTCCCCTCAGCGCCCGGGGGGCGCCGCCTCCCGCGCCGTGCGCTGCGGCCGTCGGCGGGGCGGTCGCTGGCCCGGCCGCCAGACAGCGCGGGGACGTGCGGCTGCGGATTATTGCAGACTAAGCAGTCTGGCGCTGCAGCAGCGGGGGGGGGGGGGGGGGGGGGGAAGGAGGGGGAAGAGGGAGGAAAGGGAGGGGGGTCGGTGGGGGGAGGCGGGCGGAGGGAGTGTGTATGTGTAAGGAGGGGACGGGAGGGGAGCGGGGAGCTGGCAGGCAGCCAGCTACCATCAGAATTAGCTCATTGTTCAATATAACCAGCGCTGGCAGCCAAATCCCAGCCCGAGAGAGAGGGAGACTTTCCCCCAGCCACCCCCCACCCCTTTTTCTCCACGACTGCACTTTGGAAGAGGTGCAGTCTTTCCTCCCCACACCCCCTACCCTCTCTCCACTCCCCCAACTATAAATTCCCTCTGTAGCATGCTGCCCTTTTTTAATCCACATTTGTGTTTCAGATCATGTAGAAAGGACAGAAAGTGAGCAGGGAGCGGGGGCTTTTGTCTGTAAGTATATGCAATTCCAATCCACAGAATTTCGTTCTACTTTTATTAATCCTCTCTTTCTTTCTTTCTTTCTTTCTCTTCGTTTCCTTTTGCCCTTAGCTGGTCTGTGCTTGCAGCTTGCAGCACGCTCTCGGTGCACATTTCCAAAACAGGCTTTCTTGAAGGAGATGAGAGAACGTGCAGTATATATGCTTAACTCTTTGTCTTTGTGCTTTGAGGCTGGATTTCTGGGCTGGGGATTTTGCTGCACACATGCAAGGGGAGACGAGGAGTGGTTTTGTAAAACTAATTCCTCTCTTTTTTGGTTTTTCACTCCAAAATCACCAAAACGCCTTTCTGAATTTTGGGCGCTTAGATTTTTTAGCATGTATGCAAGGCTCTAGGATTGGGTTTTCGTCTCTTTTCTTCTCTCTTTTAAAACGAATCTCCCTCTTCTCCGCCCTGACACTGGATTCCTCTCAGGCTGCTGGTGTTTATTTTTAGAAAGCAGTCATTCTTGCAACAGCCTTCTGCGTTTTCGCATGTGCAGCAGTTAAATTTTGGGTGGTTCTTTAGGGAGAGAGAGAGGGGAAAAAACAAAAAACAAAAACAAACAAACAAAAAAACCCCAAACAAATGTATTTTGGTGAGCATTTTTTGATGTGCTTTCTTCCAAATGTTTCTATGTCCATTTATAGGTAAGAGTTTGCAGTTTTCTGTCCAGCATAGATGTATGTATTTGTGTGTAGACGTATGACTCATACCTAATTATATCTCGTACGTACACACTATAGGTAAGAAATATATAATCTATCAGTAGAAGAGAACTTTATTTTTTCACTTTATGAGAACTGATAAAGGAGGTGTGCTACAAATTCACTCAGTTAAAAGAGCAGTAATTTGAACGAGGTAGGACCTACTCTTTTTTTCCTCCCTATTAAAAATAGGTGTGTGCGTGCAAGTATGTGTGTGTGGAATAGAGGGAGAGAAAACGGGAGGTTATGTAATGCAGTGCCATTTCCAAAAATACCTACTCTCTGGGCCCTTACATTGTGAATGCCTGACACTGTAATGCGTGTTTCTTGACTGGGGAAAAAAAAAAAAAAAAGCTCCACACTTTGTAGTATGGCTGCAAACAATGGACCACCTTTCACAGTAAGCACAGGTTGATGGATTTTGTCCCGTTGACTAATTTTTAGGTGTCTTAACCATTAGGACTCTTCAGAGAAGTACCAAGTGCTATGAATAGCATAATAGTTTTGCAAATCCAAGTGCTAGGGATTCCTTTTTCGTATATTTAAGCCTACAGAACACTGAAGAGTAGAGGAATATGGTATATAAGTGTACATGTGGTTAGAATAATTTGCATGACTTTAATCTTAACCACTGAAGCTTATTCTTGGCTCACTACTGTCACACTGGAGAGAAAAAAAAAAGAAACCTTTTAAATATTGTGACAGTTTTAATTACATTTGTTTTCATTATTTTTTTTTTTTAATTACTTTCAGATCCTTGTGCTACCTGAGAGAAACTGCAATCCTAAGACTTAACAGAATCTAAAAATGGTAAGAATTAGCTGTAATTAGCTGTTTTAGCAAAGCACTTTTTTTTTTCCTAATAAATACAAACCTTTTCCCATCCTCAGCACCCATCTATAAAGACAAACTTTTTGAAGTTAAGGAGATTTGCCATACAGTGATGGATGTACCTTGAAAGTCTCCGCATGTTGAATCTTTGATTTTCTTGCAATTTTTGAATAAAAATCTGAAATCTCTCTTTGTGTAGTAAGGCTTATTTAATTGCAAAATTGCATGCTTAGGTGACTGTGAAAAATACACATCAGCACACTTTTAGGAAAACATTCAGGCAAAACAATATCCAGTAATTTCACTCTCCCTCCCCCCAAAAGAAGAAAGAAATAGATCAGTGTAATTAGTAAATGAAGCAGATTTAATATTATTCTGTCAGGAAAGTACATAAGATGCAAACAGGTTTTTCTTATTATTTGGTAGTTTCTAATGAATTATAGCTTTTTCTAGTGATTCAAATCTGTTTCAGAAAAAAAAAAAAAAAAAGCTAGGCCTCAGCCTAACTGGACTTGCAAGCACGTGGAATATATTCAATAAAGTGTTCAAGAATTGTCCATTTTCTTCAGTGCTAATTGTGCTTATATTTTTACTGAGTAAAGCCCATATGTTATGCTCTGAGTTATTACTGCTGGCATGTATTAATTTTGAGGATAAAACAGATTTTGCACCTAAACATTCTCTAAATATGGTGTTCCCTGGGAATGTTTGAGGGTCAGCAAGACAAAGACAGTTCTTCACTGAGGAAGTCGTAAAGTAGGCATAATTTAATCATATGATCTATAGTCATGCAGAATTCTTGATCGAAGACCCATCTATTCCTGAATGCATATGTGGGCATAAGTAGGATTTATTTTGATTGCTACTGGTGTGCAATGCTATCACAGACAAAAGTGTGTTAATTTATAAGGGACAATACCTTGCCCAAATTAGCACTAAGTAGAAGAATGACCGCAAATTATTTTCTGTATGTGACGTAAAATAATGTGTGATATTCTCAAGGATATACTACTATGAAAATTGGGTTAAATTTATTGCGTTATTATATTATATTTGTGTGGGCCTTTGAAGTTGTTTTGATGTGGAGGAGGAAGGATGAAGCAAGGGACGTTTAAAATACAATATGTAATCTGTAGTAAGGTTTTTTTCTTTAAGGCTCCTTGTTTCATATCATTCCCATCTGCAAAAATAAACTTGCAAATTCTGGAGTTTTAATCTATTCTGGAACCTACTTTCATCAAAGCTCATCTGTACATAAATGAGTAGTTGGGGGTGAGGAATTGTAAGGGAAGTGATTCACTTAAGCTGTGAATAGAAATTGTGTTAAAATACGTTCTGTTCACAGAACTGTGGAATACTGGATAAGGAAACTGTTTTTCTAACAACACCAAGGTGACAATCAGCCCACATTCTGAGATGGTATGCGGGCTGTTATATGCAATATAAGCCTATCTCTGGAACAAAAGATTATTTTAAGTTTTGTTAGGCATAAAATAGCCTTTGATTTTTACCAGCAGATGGTCCTATAGATCTAGCAAGGTTCCTGTGATAGTCAGACAAATCACTTTTGTGAAAACAATATCCATGTCAGAACATAATATACAAGTTAGAACTATCCAAATACAGAAAGTATTATGTAACTACCCACTTATTCACTGAGGTGGATATGCACCTTTTGTTTTTGCAGTGTAACATAAATCAAAATCTGTTTTGGCTGTTTTTGAAAAGTTTTGTATTTGCTATGAAAATTCTTAATTCCACTTGTTTCTGATTGTTTGTCAGAATTTCAGTGTAAGAAAGATGAGTTTTTGCTCCAACTTAGAAGATTGCTTAAGATGTGATGTTTGGCAGGATCTCTTTGCCTACTGAAACCATTTTACTTCCTTTCTTTCTTTTCTTTCCTCTGCTTGTTCATTCTACTTCTCCTCTTTCTTTGTATCTTCTTTTTATCTTCTTTTTCTTACTCCCTTCCTCCCTTGTTTCCATTTTTTTTTTCTTCCTTTCTTTCACTTTTGTCACAGTATCACTGGATGTCAGTGATAGGAATATGAAGTCAGATCACTGACATACTTTCCTCACAGCAGTGGACAAACTTTAGCATAGTTCTTGTACTTTTTTCAAGCATTCCTTTAGCAGCTGTGATTCACAGGAGAAATTATTTATCTATCAACACTTCTTACATTGTAACACATAACTGTAAAAGTGCTTGCTTTTTTTTTAATATAAGAGCACATTCAAACATTCTATTCTGCTTTCCCTATTCAGTGAGAATTTGGCTTTTACATTTCACCAGGCTTAACTAAACTTGATAAAATAGGGAGAAAAAAAATGCCTTGCTTAATTCCCTGCATAGCTACTCTGAAAGTTCATTAATTATTTAGCTAAACTTAAAGTGACCGGAGTGTTACAGTGACCAATTACGAGTGACCAGAATAAACTTGCCTAGTAAGAACAAATTAACTCTTTGTGTAACTTCACTGTCTTGTCTTCTCAGTTTCCTGATGTTCTTAAGCTGTTTACAATTAAAAAACAAAACAAAAAATGCCAACAACTTAGTAGGTTAGTTGGTTAATTTTCGATGCTGCTTCTGTTCCTCGACATGGAATTACTGCTGCCTCATAACAGTTTAATTAATCTTTCTTGGAGGTACATAATACTGAAGTAGCAATTTAAGGAGGAATAAAAAGGGAAAGGAGTGTAGTTTGTGTTGTATCTCATGGACATTTTGAGTCATCTTACACAGGAATATGTGCCATTTGAAGATGTGTCCTTACTTATGTATTATTTGCATGTAAAATGCCCACATATAGGAAAAAAAGTATTTATTTTTAATTTTTAATTTACAGTGTGTAAGGTCTTGAGGTTACTTTAAATGCTAAGTTTATTTGAAATGCTGGGATTTCAATATTCCATCTTCATGGAAAATGCTGTATGTCATAACATACAATTTTTGACTTTATTGCTGTTTAAGAAAAAAAAAAATTAAACTATTAGATACCAAGAAAACAAGCAAAGAAACAAAGAACTACTGCCAAAAAAAAAATAAAAAAAAAAAATCCCCCAAAATCAAAAAACAACAACAGGGTTTTAGAGGCTGTTTGGCCTATGTGATGCAGCCATTGAAATGAAGATTCTTGTCAGATGAGATAGAAAACTCTAATTTCAGTTTTCTCTGACCTTAAAGATGACTCCTCACAAAAGCAGGAGCGACCTTTTTTCCCTATCTTGTAAGCTGTCTTCCCACCACACCTTCTCTGTCCCCCTCTCTCCTCCTCTCTTTCCCTCTCTCCCTTTCCTCCTTAAAGAAAGAAATTACAAAGGCATTTTAGATCTTTCACAGTGTGTTTTGGTTTTTGTTGTTGGTGGATTTTGTTTTTTGTTTTTGTTTTTCTTTCTGAAGCACTCAGGTATGTCCTGTTTTTCTGTTCACTGCAGTTAATTTCTGGGCTTCAGTTCTCAGTTTGCAGTGTAGGTTCTAAGGATGACAAGTTTATCAGTAATTGGTAAAAGTATGCATCAGTAAATAGATACATCCTTAATAATTTAATTTTGACTGACCTGACCATGTCATTCCAAAGCAAAAGATCTCAGAGGAAGGTCATTTGGGCTGGTGAGTTATGTTAGCATGTCTGAGCAGCATCCATTTTGAGGTTGTTCTATCACACAGAATCATTTGCAATCTCTAAATTTCGTAGTCTTGCTTAAGGAGGAAAGAAGAAAGAAAAAAAGAATAGTGGCTTATTGGGGAGAAAAACTGTCAAGGAAGTGATTTTCTTCAGTAATTCAGGGAGAAACAGATGATAGCCTGCATTTGGACAAAGGGGAAGAAAATCATCATCCCATGTCCTTGCATTTCTTCCTGAAATGTGTAACATCATGTAAGTCAAGTGAAGATATTTATGAGATATTTATGAAATCTTATATGTAAGATTTCATCCCAGCTTATCCATTATCAGTATTTTCTGGTGTGTTATATGCAGATATCTTTATGCATTCTTTAATTTTCAATGCCTGTAAAATGACTTAACTTTGGTTGAAATAACTGTTGATTGCTTCAGGAGTGCCTGTGGAACTGATCTGGCCAGAGACATGCATATTCCTGTGTTCTGAAGAATAAGAATGAGATACTAAGATAAGACGTTTTGTTCAGCCTGGTAATAGAAATACACTGGGCAAATATAACTGCTGATCTGGCATGAGAAATATTATACTGCTTTGTTAGTTATTGCTGAGTCTGCATTTGGAACTGACATCTCCTTTATGGTAGCTCAGAATTGCAGAGGAGCTGCAGGACTATACCAGATCTAGTTATACTCCTATATAGCCATGGACAGAAAGAAATTGGTCGAGAGAAGTAAGTGAGAGAAAGTTGTTGTTGTTTTTTGTTTGTTTGTTTGTTTGTTTGCTTTCCTCCAGTACTTCTTCATTACTGAAAACTTAGGAAGAATTACATGCACAGCAGCTTAAAATACAAATAAGTAGAAATTAAAACTCACTTTTTGCAGTATTTTTGCTAACTCAGCTGCTCAAATATGCAGAAAAATAAACAAAACAAAACCTTTACTAAATTATGGCTAGGAAGATATGAAAAGGAGTTTTAAGAAAACGTTGTTTCTGTCCAAATGTTGTGGATTTTTCTGTGATACAGCTCATCTGCACATTAAAAGACATTAAAAGATTTCTCTATACATGTTTCTTTCCAGTCACAGCCATGCATCCTCTTTTTTTTCTAACTGCACCAGCATATCCTATCTGATGAAAACAGTGTTGACATGTTGACTTGGAGATTTAAGTAACACTTTGCCCAGGACAAACCTTTACTGAACATTTTTTCACGGGTTGAAACTCCAGAAAATCAGAAATAAGAATATATATGCACCTTGTAATGCTACACAATTGTGTCATACTGTACTGTGTAATGCTATACTGATTTTTAAGTCTTGAGACTGAAAGCCTGCCCAACAATCGTTTATTTCAGTCAGAATACTGTTTCTTTCCATCTGAGCTCTGATCATTGTGCAGATGGCTAGAGAGAGGAGAGATGCTATGCCTAATAGCCCTCAAAAATCTTCATAAAAATAATATAATCAGTATCACTGATCAGGATGGGATTTTTTAATATTTATATTTTGTTTCTATTTCAAATAATTATTCATCCTGATACATCACTGAGCTATGTTGGTTGAGGATGCAATCTGGAAAGGTGCAAAAATGATCATTTCAAATATTTAATATAGAATGATACTATGAATCATTGTTTGAATGTTATATGAGGTTCAGTTTAGATTGCTTTTCTGGCACATTCACTGTCACACGACTAAATGATTCCTGCCTAGATGCTCCTGTGAGGTTTCCTGATGTTTCCTTCTGTAAATACTATATTAGGAAAAAGGAAAGAAAGCAAAATATCACAGCCTCAAAACAAGTAACATTTACACATCCTGCAGGAAGAAATGTTTCTATATTAATTTTATTAACTACGATAACAAAATGTATACAATGTTCTTGTCTTGTCTTTGCATAGAATACCTCTGTGCAAAGGAGTTTCAAAAGTTCAAAGGAATTTGTATAATCTCATGAGGTAGAATAAGCCTCGGCTAAATATGAATACTATCAAAATGAAGTGTATCTTAGAGCATTCGGAGGCACATATTTACATTATACAGTTGCTCAAATATGTTAAGTTACAGATAAACAATTCATCCTTCGTTCTTCATTTTAACATTAATTCATCTATGATAAATCTCCAGTATGAAAAAATGTGAATTTAATTAACTCTCCTTGGTGGCAGAATACAAGCTTGTGGTAAAATTTGTTACCTTTAATTTCTGAGATAAGTTGTTATGTAAGGCAACATAAAATCAGGAACAATACTTGACAGAAAAAGTTTTCTTGTCTCCTGATGAGATAAATCATAGAAGCCACAGGTATTTTATTCTTTTCAAACTATGTGACATATACGATACGGTTTACGTTGTGTTTTATATTTGGAGTAACATTTAGGCTATGCTAAATCATGGTAATGAGGCTGATGCACTGACTGTGCAGGTTAAATGTACCATAATGCTTTCAAACACCTGTTACAATATCATCAGTTGTGGCTATTTCATCTTTTTTTACGAGGTAAGCACTGGCTATACAGTGTAGTTCTTTCTCTCTTTTACTAGGTTACTCCTGGGACTTTCAACACTTGCCTGAAATACGTTGTGTGTGAAAAGGTCTGGTATCTTATGAGGGAGATTTTCACTGCTAGGCTCAGCAGGAGAGCAAGTGGCAGAGGCTGTGAACTTTCCTCCACTTGGAGGACAAAATCACAATTTCTAGTCATCTTTCTGGTACGTGTGGGAAATTTAAACAATTAAACAAACAGAAAAACAACAACAACCCAAAAAACAGGGTTAGCCCAAAGCAATCAGTGCATTAAGTCCTCTGAAGTTATATTAATTCAGGGAATTTGTAGGAAATTAAATAATTGCTTGTGCTTTGGAAGTTTAGCTCAGTGTATACATTTTGTGTAATTCAAAATTGGAAGGAGGAATCTGGGAAGTCACACTGTAGAAATGAATGTTTTGGGCTTTCTCCTTTTACTCTTTCTCCAGGATACCTCTACTGGCCACTGGTCCTTTCCCTAAAATCAAAATTTTATGCAGTGAGCAGGCTGGGCTATGTGGACTTTTAGTCAGCCTGTATATACAGGTTTCCTCCTGTATTGCTCTAGTAATTTGTCAGTATTGGGTATGAAACTAGTGAAGAGCTTGAGCATGCAGCCTTCAGTCCTGAGTGTTGCTGCTGTGTGTTTACCTGACTTAGTAGAGAAATTTAGAGTGCATCTACTTTTGCAGTTACCATTAAGCATAGATACAAATGGTTACTATTTAAATATTTCACTACTTTGTTGTGCTTGAAGACCAATGATGAACTCACTGGTAACCAAAATTCAGATGCTATTTTAAGTTTCAGGCTTGTTACTGTTTGTGTGTGTGTGTGTGTGTGTGTGTGTGTGTATGTGTTAAGTAAAGTGATAAAAGCAACCTTTGCAGCACACAGGAAAATTAGAAGAAAACATTGTTATGCAGGTTTTGGAGCTCAGTTTTCTGAGGGGCTTGTTTTGTTATTTGACTTCTGTAATGTTTAATAGTTTCAGAGTCCATGTACTCAAAGTGACTGTTGGAATAATGCAATTTGCAGCTTTTTATTGCTTAATGGAACTTTCCACAAAATATACATTTGTTTCTTTCTGTTCTTCTGAAATAATTGTACTTCTTTTCCTTTCAAGAAGTGATACTCTGGTAATAAATATGTTTGCTAAACTCACGAATTCAGATAGAAGTTGGATGATGAGTATTTATGACAACATTCATAATCATTCATAATATACCACTTTTTTTTTTTTTTTTTCCCCTCTTACTCTTCACATGCATGGTAAATATTAACAATGCTTTGCTATGGTTTTTGCATGTTTAATGAAGAAAAAGAGCAGCATGAGTGCACTTGTAGCACACAAACTAAATTCAACCTGACTAGTGTAGAAAAGTCCAAATTGAGCTCTCTGCCTAAAAATTACATTACGCTCAGATGTTGTGGGGAGGGTTTCTATGTGGGGGAGAACAAACTGTTTTCTGTAACTAACCTCAGTCAATCATGTATATCAGAAAGCTGCTAACATTTGTGTTAGGGGTTCTTATCAGCCGAAGAAATTGGCAGGAACGTGCTGACCATATACTCAAGCTAGATTAGCTTATTTTTTTCCCCTCCTGAACACCATATTTGCTCAGTTTTGGAGGCCATAGTCAGGTAAGAGACCTTTGGTTGGCAAAATATGCTTGCTTAGCCTAGATCAATATCTCTTCCTGCAGCAAGAGGCTATGAAGCAGTAAAGTGAAATAATCTTAAAATTATGTACTTTAGTAAACTTTGTACAGTCACTCAAATTCTTTTATTGTAGATACCATGAGATTCTGAAAGCACATATATAAAAAAAATCAAACTATGCAGTATGGATTAAGACAAGTGTGATATCTTTGAAGAAGCTGATACAGATGAGCCAACATAGGAGGCTATATAGAAATAACTTCAGTGTAACCTGGAGAATACAGGTTTAAGAGCAGTGAAAGAACTGATGGATGAAGATGGGTTTTTATGAGAAATTTTGTGTTCACATGTAGGAAAATTACTTCAAAGATCACTTCCTTGTGTTATAGAAAAATAGCAGATAACATCTAGTTCTGTAAAACTGACAGAAATTGAAGAAGTGATAAACAAGGACTACAGGGAAAAAAATATCAAAAACCAAACAAACACAAAATTGAAACAAGAACCTATTGAATAAACTTGCTAATTCATGTACAGCACAGGGAGGGAGATGCAAGGAAGAGTGTACTTGTCTCATTTAGTCTTTTTCATCTCTATGCGGTTGTGAGTTTGAGTCATCAGATGGGGAGGAATAAAATGCAGCAATAATAACTTCCCCATGAAAAGGCAGAGGCAGAAAAGGGTGCTGATGCACAGAAATTAAAGGCAAGTACAGGTGTGCAGGTGTCTTGCTATATTCTGCCAGTATGCTGTTGCATGTTAATTCTTACTGTAATGGGCAGGTAAAGCCCACTTAGAAAGGTAGGCTACTTGGATTAATTCCAGTCTGGAAGGAAACAATAGCATAATTATTAATCACTTCTCCCAAACCATTTATCTACCTTTATTTGCAGTGTGAAGGATGTGTGAAATGACCATGAAAAAAACTTTTTTTTTTTTTTTTTTTTTTTTTCCCCACTGAGTTTTGAATGCTTGTGGCATTGATGTGGAAAGCATGATTGCTAGGAAAAATATCCTGCCCTGACAATACATTGAAAATGTGAAGACAGCTAATAAATAACCTGCTAGGGATAACTGTTACACCTCAACCAGAAGCTCAGACTTGTGATGCAAGAAAAAACAACCTTGTATACAAAACTGAGAGACCTCAAACCTACTGAGCTATGGATCAAAGCATTTTTAAATCAGTTAAGTTTATTAAGTTGCGTTTTAACTAGGGAAAATTGTGGTTCCTGACGGTTTAATACAGAAAGTTTCCTCACTGACTGTGTTTCAGAATCAGCCTATCAAGACTGTGACTGCAGCTTCTTAAATACAAAAGATTTGCAAAAACTTCACTGACATTTTTCCTCCTTATTTGAAAGACTATGAGCAGTCTTTGTATCCTGGCATTCAGGAAGATGCAGAAAACAAAACTGAATGGCAGCAGATTGTCACCCAACTAAATTCTTGAGAAGTAGCAACTATTCAGCTGACAGTTGCTATACATATTAAATATTGCATGCAAGATTTGGGACATGGTAGACATTAGTATCATATGCTATCATAATGCTCCCCAATCTTAAACTCCAGCAGAGAGGTTCATCAGCTTACCTCTTACAATTCAGCAAATGACACAGCATGCATTGATCTTTAACAAAACAATTTATTTTATGTTTAAACAGCAGGTACTGTTCGTGTATCTGTATGGTACTGGTGGACTGTGATTTATGAGGAGTCATTTAGGGAACATAGGAGTGCATGTTACAACTCAAATAAGCTGGTATCTAGGAATCACAACAAACTGCAAAGAAATAACTCTTTTGACTTAGCAGGCAACAGTATTCTGATTTTTGGAAAACAAAATACATCAAGGCACAATTGGAAGAGATCTGCTGGGCACTTTTTGACTGAGAGCGGGCAGAAAGGAAATAATAGACAACCTTTCTTCTAGAAGCTCCAGTGCTGTTGATTTGTGTTACGTTACTACAAAGCAGTGGTGGTGAAAAATCTGATCTACTTTAAAGGCATAGAAGTATAGAAATGCCCTCAGAATGCTAGGAGTGTAATGTTAGCACACTGTGGAAGTGGTGTGATGGCACTTTCTTTCCTTCTCTTCAACATGTCATTTTAATTCCCTGTTCTTCAGCCCATAGCCATTTGTGTCTGAGGGAAGACTGATAATCCAAGACTGGTAGAATTTTTCTTTTATTTTTTTCCCCCTGGTATGCTAGCGCAGAGTTTCCAGACATTAGGAATTCGCAGTGTTCTTCTCATAATTCCATTCTATCTCCTACCTTCTACCATTAATTGATTTTTTTTTTGACAGGAAGTGAGCTGAAACTTCTAAAAAGATGATTGCTGCTGCACTCAGAGTGGTTGGTTTTCTCTGTTAAACTTCTAGTTTGGGCATCTAGATTGCAATTGACTTGAACAGGAATTCAGTTGTAGACCACATTAAAAGAGAGAGGGGGGGGGAAAAAAAAAAAAAAAAAAAGTAATTCTGGGGACTTTTTGTCTAGTTCTTGTCTTTAATAATTTTAGAAATGCTTAACAGGTCTGTGCTCATTGTACTAAGTTTAGCGTATCTTCAATCTGGTTTTGTTTGTTCTATTTTTTCCTCATGATGGATGTTTCTGAATGTTTGAAAGATGCTTTTAATATGTAGGGATGAAGAGTGGGTAGTAAGGAATCATTTTAGCATTTTAGCTGATACAGTAAATTATGTCCAGCTCTGTAAATATTATTTTACATGTTTGTTTTAAAGGTAGGCAAAAGTTTGTGCTCCTTTACTGTTGCTCTTAAGGAGGACAGAGGTTTATGAGAGGACCAGTGGATTATTATGGAAGAATAGGCATTTAGGTTTTGAAATGTTGGTTAAACAGAACTGCTGCAATAGCAAAAAGAGGATTCTTGGTTTATTGAACAGTGGAGAAAAGGAGAGCTTTCTTTAGGAAATGCTTCTGATTTCAAAGAGAAGTAGCAGTAAGTAAATAGTTCTGCAGTCTGGATGCTTTAGTAACTAAGTAAATAGGTTTTTGTTTTCCTCACCTTTGCTTTTTCTGATCTATAATAGTAATTTTTATTTTTTATTTTTTAGATTTTCAAGAAGTGGGGTAAAAAATTGAAAACATTATTTACAGATCACGACTCTCTGTATGAAGTTGGCCTCAATTTTTGGTCAGAATTGTTGTTGTGAAACATTGCTTCGAATATGTCCCACATCAGTTTGTTGCTTTTTCTCTGACTTTCCAAAGTGAAAGTGGATGGTTTTGTGTATCACAAGTTCTTCTAGGAAGATTTTTTCCAGGGCTAATAATTCTATTAGTCAGATATTTAGGAATGATCCATTTTGACAATTTATGGTTGAACTTTACTAGCTTGATATTTCCCTAACAAGTTAGGCTATCAATTTGAGTCAGTCTTTTGCATTATTTAAACTTGCAGGAACTTCAGTTCTCAATGTATCCTAAAGTTCAGTAGTTGTTTTCTAAATCCTGATGTTTTTGGTATTTAAGCCAAGCTTGTATTCTCATAGTAGTCATACAGGAAGTACTAAGAAATTAGAGGATGGTGTGTATCAATGAAAGCATTTATCTGAAGTATTTCTTCATGGTAACAGCTGGAATGCAATAAGCCTTATATCCTATTTTGTAATGAAGCACTGCCTTGCACTTTTTCTCTCCCTGTAGATCATCTTTCATGTTGCAATGTTTATATCAGTTGTTTCAAGATGCTGTCACTGACTTAATGTTCTTGCTGTTTTATATATAGTGTCAGTATATGTGAACATAAAAGTAGTTTCTGCGTTTTGTAAGACAGACAGCATGACAAAAAAACAAGCTTTTTTTCTTCCTCGGTCCTAGTGGGTTATATAAAGTCCTGAATGGGCTTTTCCACATGGGCATCTTTTTTTTTCATACCAGTAACTTCCTCTACTTAGGCAGTCCAAGCCATGCATGATTCTCTGGCCTTTCAACACTGTTCCAAAGGCAGGTGCTGAAAACCCTTTGTCAGCACAACTCAGGACTTAGCAGCATGTGGAGGAGGTCCGTGTGCTTTTTATCTTACAGTGATGGTCACAGTAGTTGCTTTTGAAAAGCCTATTGAGAGTAGGGCGGCACTAAATATTTCTCCATGGAGGAAGCTGATGTGAAAGATAGCTGGAGATAGCTGTGGGAAGCACTGTGTGATGTTTTTGTGTGAGCGTTTGTTGTTGTTGTTGTTGTTTGTTTTTTTTTGTTTTTAAACCTGAAGCACAGCTGCTGTATCTTACAGTTTACATCTTTCTCTCCCTGCCTCATCCCTAAAACCCACCTTCAAACTGCAGTCTCTTGAAGATCTTAGGAATGTAAGTCTAGAGGTTCCTCTTATGTTAGGTGTTATTTTATTTCTTTCAAATTGGCAATATAGAGTGCAAGACCTATACACTCTGAATCTGGTTCAGACTCATTGGAAAATACACAAATTCATCTTCATCATAATTAATAATGCTTTTTGTTCCTTTATTCTTTTCTTCTGTAGGAAAATACACATTTTTGTATACTTGCCCATTTAATGTGCATGCCTTGTTGCTACTTCATGTCATGAGCTTTCACACAATGAATATGACTACGTAAATAAGATAAAGGCACAGGTGCAGGTTGGATAGTCAATGATTATAAATATCAACAGGAGAGCTCAGGGTTTACATGTTTTTTTTCACTAGAGTGTTTCAGAGATTCAAGGAGAACATTAGCTGATGAAATTACAGAACAGTTTCTATGTTATCCTATGTCAGCCATAGCTGGGGAGCATGACTGGCTTTTTTGAGATCATGCAGTAGTCCCAAATATGAAATAAATTCTGATGGTCTTATCAGTAGGCAACACTGCATTTTGCACTGTGGAAAACTGTAAAAGAATGTGTCGTAGCAAGCACTGCCCCAGACCGCATTCTTTAACTTTCCCTCTTTCATTTCCTACTTTATAGTAGAGTCCTCAATTTTCTCTTCAAAGGGTGATTTAAATAATCTTCAACGTAATTTCTTCAAGCTACATCTAGTTCAGTTGTGTCAACTACTCAAAGTGCAACTTTCCAGAAATGAAAACATTTCTAGGCTTCAATACAAATACAATGGCATGCAGGTGAATGAAGCCTGTCCTCCAGGAATTGCATTGACAAGGCAAATTTTTATAACCGAAGTGTGAATAAGTTTGAATGCTGTAATTTATCATGTTCAGCTTGAAACTGTTAGATGTTCAAGCACCTTGTAGAAAGAGTTGTATTCTCTAAACCAAAGGCACAGCAGGCAGACCCAGCAGGGAAACAAAAAAGGTATTCAGTGTTATATACAACTCATAAGTGATCACTTCAAAGCTTAAGGAGAGTGAGATTGGTACGTGTTCTGGTCTTCATCCTGGGGATTAGGATCTGAAGCACAGGAGGTTTTCAGATCAGATTCACGGTAGTAACTGAAGTGTATTTGCTTAGCACTTACTCCAGCTGCCCACTGGAGGCTGTAGCCTGTCGTGAATCTCACCCATTTTTCTGGTAAGAAAGAAGGCCTAGGAGAAGTGTGCTCATCTCAGGCAGGATAAATAGGACCGTTTCTCCTATGGCTGCATAGGAAGCTCTGCCACAGAGCAACAGAGGGTTGGTATTGTCACCACTAAATCCTGCTGACAGCTCGTTTGTCTTTTATAATCTGTGTTCCTTTGAAGTCTAAAATATTGGGTGCTGACACAAGATTATAGCAAAGCTCAATGTACTTAAAAAGTATTAATTTTCAGTTCACAGTTCAGTATGAAAGGTTTACCAAAGTTGTGTTCCCCTTGTCTCCGGTAATTATCAGCAAAGGTAGTCATCTTCATTGTCTTCATTCATTCATTTTCATTCATCCCTCTTGTCCTAAAATTGTACCTATTTGTGTTGCTACAGGTTTATCAGCCAAGGGAAATGATTTGGGTTAGCCAGAAAGTCTTCCCAACCAGCCATGGAGAGGGAGGATTTCTAAAGGTAAAGTTATTTATTATTTCTCTCATCTAACAGTTTACTAAGATGAAAGATTCCTGAGTGAAAAAAAAAAATACACAAACAAAACAAAAAAAGAAACCAACGAGCCACAAAACACTGACAGTTCAATGGAGTTTATTTTATGACTGTTTCAAGAGCATAGCTGGGTTTCATGATTTCATCACGAGTCTCATGGTATTCTGTTTTTCTTGAAGCTTTGGCTCCATGAGCCAAGCAGTTAAGTGAGGATTTCAGCATTGATTCTAAAATTACGTTTTTATCATTTAGACTTGCAGAAAACATGAACTCTTACTGACTACATACCAGAAAGGAAATGTTAATTTTCAAGAGTTCGGATTTCTTAAGTCTGTCTGATGATTTTTCAGGCTTGACATCTGAGTTTCGAATGCTTAATTTTGGCTGTTGTCACTTACTAATAAAGAGGAAATGATAATGTACAGGGAAGGAAGGGGCGTTGTTGTTGTTTTTCTTTTGTGAGCTTTTGTTCTTCACCTGGCTTAAATAGTAAGCATATAGTGCAAGACATTTTTCATTCAATTTTGACAAAAAGGTCAGAAGATGTGGGTTATATGACTGATAAGATTTTGTTCTGTTGCCGTTGCTGGTTTCATTAATCCCAAATTGGATTTGAAATTTACATAGGAAAGAACAGTTGTTCAGAACTACAGAATGTATGTGCTTTATTTTTGTTTCTCATTCATTAATGACTCAAAGTCTGCAAAAAAATTGTAAGGTCAGCAAATAAGAGCAAATGAAAACTGTTTTAATTTAATTTCCATTACTATCTCCAACTCCTTGTTATCAAAATCTGGATAACTATATTTTACTTTTATTTCTGTGTAAGGGAATTTCTACAATTCATAGTTGAATTGACTCATTTGAATTTGACTCCTTCAAATTAACATGTACATTAACATTAACATGTGAGCATGCCATACCTAACATTTAGAGTGTTCTTAAAATTCATCTGAATATGCTGATAGCAATACTAGATTAAGACAAACGTACCAAATGATCAAATGCTGTCCTATTTACATTAAATAAATTAGCTAATTTTATTAATCATCTGTGTGTTTGCTAGGTGATTTTTTTTCTTTTTATGCTTCAGCTTTGAATGTTTCATTCATGACTGCTCAAAGTAGTTCCTAAAACATAGGAATAAAGTTACGAACTATGTGCAACATATTTCGTAACAATTCTGCATTCTACTGGCTTTATGAGTAGCCATGTATTTGTATTGTACATATATTGAAAAAAAATCATGAAAAGGGATAACCTTCTGAACTATGCAATGTTATAGCTTTTTTTTCTTTATAGTTATTGCATTCCTGATTTTTCATCACTATTCTGACCTTTATGCAATTCTTCAGAAGGTATTTGGCATAGGCTTGAAAGGAGCAGTTTTTAGTTTCACAGTTAAGATTCAGAAGCAATTTAAATATTAGCTGCCCACAATCCAGTTTCTAGCAGAGTATCAGCTTTAACAAAAACCCAGTTGTTGGAATCTGACTATTGTTCATAATGCTTATAAAATTAATCAGGATAAATTTCTGGAGAGAACTGCAGAAACTGCTTAGCCCTTCTGCAACTCAACATTTTAGGTACTACCTTTTAGTACCAAACTGGTTGAACTACCAAAAGAATGAAATAAAATCAATAGAGTTTATTTTTAAAAAAATCTTTTTTTTTTTTTTTCCTAGTGTTTTTTTTCTCATTGCTTTAGGTGTTGTTGTTTTGGGTTTTTTGGGTTTTTTTTTTTTTTTGTTTTTTCCCCTCATGCAACCAACAAGCATAAATGGATATGTTTATTACAGACAACTTACTTCCCAGCCCAGAAGGGTCATACGGGACTTTTAATCTTATGATTGTATGGCAGAATTTCAGCACTAAGATTGTTTTCACAGCTGAAAAGGAACTGACCAACACAATACTTTTGGAAATTTGCCCAGAGCTTTGGTCTGTGTGGTGTCCCTTCTGAAAGCTTAAATGGTGATTGTAAAGCACCCGTGAACTTTCAACAGAAAATGAAATTTTTGTATGTACATGTCTAGTTTTCTTCTCATATCCTGTAATGATACACAAGTAGCAAATTTATTTAACAAATGAGCAATTCCACATGGGAGGAATTTTCTGGTGTCCTGTGAGGGAAGATATTTGTACAGTCACTAGAATTTAAACATCATTTTCTCACTCTGAAATGCTATCTTTTGCAAAATCTCCAATCTGATTCTAACAAAGCCAATGCTGTCTTCTGCAAAATCTCCAATCTGATTCTAACAAAGCCAATACTATGTTTCTACTAGTTCTTCTACAGCTAGCAGACTTCTGCATTTCCACTGAGTGAAACCCACCCAGTTTGTAAATTTCTGATGCCTGTAGGTGTGGGGAGTGTTTTTCCCTAAGGGAAGGATTTCAGCCTTTTCAGGCTGATAATCTGGCTGGGTGCAGTGCAGAGCCCCAGGGCAACCTGTGTGACTGAAAGCAGAATTTAGCCTGTTATCTTTGATAAACACAGTGGGAAGGCCCTAGGGTGGCTTCATTCTCAATGCTAGTAAATATGACAAATACAGACATTCCAGTGAAAATTATGGCTCTGAAGAGTCATAAGAGAAAAAGAAGAGGGAAGACCCTGAAAGCTGCACTTTCTAGGTAGTTGTAAGACTACTCTTTGTTCAGCTTCTGATTCAGAAACTCAAAACCCTGCTGTCAGAAGAACTGAACTTTGAGAAGATAACTTTCGTTTTTTAAACAGACTTTAAAAATAATCAATCTCAACAGGTATGTATTAAAAAATAAAATCAATAAAACACCTTTACAGTTATGAGCTCTTAAATACAAACTTAAAAAAAAAAACAACAACACAGAAGTCTTTTCAAAAATTTGGAATGTATGGCTAATAAGCACATTATTTTTGTTTAAAATGCCATAATGACGTATCGCTAGCAAAGTATTTTAAGCTTGTGCATAGCCTTTTGGCCTCCTACTGAGGTTTGAGCTGAAACAAGTATTCATGTTGCTGATTAGGCTTCAGCCAGTGAGCAAGTAAGTATGGTGAACAAAATTGTCTCAGAGGTAGATGGGTAGCCTGCACACTACTTCCTTACTTTTTCAGAAACCACAGTAATACACTACAGAGCCTTTGAATTCCCACTAGGGAAAGAATAAGTGCTCTTCTCAATGAAGTATTACAGAAAAGTCTCTTATTTGTATATGCTTGATGCACAAGACATAAGGCGTTTAAAAAATTAGAGGGTTAATCTGCAAAAAGTTCTCTCAATAATGAAATAACTTAGACACACTTTTATGTTGGAGGCCACGTGGAGCCACAAAACGGAGCTTAGGTTATAGAAACAAATGAGCAAGGTAATTTGGTATAGATAGTACCATGAGCATCAGTTTTTTCTCACTTGTGTTAGTACTGAGTTATGTTTTCAGTGAGGCCCAGTACTTTCTGTTGAGTTGTGGCCATGAGTTTTTCACTGACTATACTGAGACACTCCATCTTCATTTTCTGCTTCATATGTGCAAAATGGATAATTACTTGGTTTTGGCCATATTTATAATAATACCAGAAATACTGCACACTCATCTTCTAGTGCAGCTACAGACCTGAGCAATCTCAGCCATTACGAAGGGCACTAAAATTCCCTGGTTTGGTGGGCACAAGAAAACTTGTGTTGGGTAGTGTGGGGATGTACAATTGGTGATCTGTTGAAAGGGTTTTGTTTCTATTGCATCTCTAAACCTTTAAACTTGCAAGGATAACTGGGATATTCCCAGCTGCAGCAATTGAACAGACTTCCTGGTGGAGGGCTGTTGCTGACCTAACTCTGGAATTCTTTGACTGCCATGGCACACTTACTCAGCCCTAGAAAAGACTTTTCCTCAGATGTTGCATAGCTTGCCTGGTATTGCCTGTTATATAACAATCTTTTTCCCTCAGTGGTATTAGTATTAACAGTTGATTAAGGTGTGTTTAATAGATGTTTACTTCTGAACCGAAGTCAGGCGACGTTGAGTATAATAGGACATGAGAAGGGAAGACACACCAGGAATACTTCAGAGAATCACAGCTAATGCTATTTTTCCTCTCTGCAGGGATGTCTTCCCATCTCAAAGGAAGTAAATCGCAAGAAGGAAAGTGAAGTGGAAGGGGCATGTTGGGCTCCACTAAATGGCGATGGTCACCATTTCACCAAAATCAATTACCTCTACACTTTTTAGTTTTCCATTTGTATTACATATGGTGTATGGGTTTGATGAGGTCATGGTGTCATGTATTGGGAATTGTTTCTGTGTAAATCATCAAGTGTATGAAGAAACTATGGGACTCTGAGCCTTGCTTTAGAGAATAACAGTGGACAAATGTGTACCATAAAACTAGGTTTAACATTCTGACTCAAGCGAAAGCTCTCAGAATTTCACACTGTGAATCCATGTTTACAAACATTACAGGTGGGCCCTCAGGCCTGGTTCTACCACAGCAATGTCTTCCACTACTCAAACTCCACTGCTTACATGAAACTGGTAAACTACTCTCTCCATTTTTACCATCCCTAACTGCTTTTTGCAGAGGCTGAGAGTCCCCCTTTTTTTCATTTAGATGTAACAAACCTAGTAGTTTATTTTCATCAATTGTCTGTATATCTCTATATTTTATCCATGTACTCTTTTGATGTATAGAAGTAGTATGAAACTCATGGTTTCCTTGTGGTAAGTGATTGTGATGCTGCCACGGGATTTGAGACACTGATGAATGGTGCTATTTTGGACTTTAAATATGCTCCTTGGCAAGGTAGCTCTGATGGAGTTATTTTTTATTTCCATGTTCTGAGAAGGTGTTGGTACTTTGTTTTTCTGAATGTTGTTCTTTAGACTGGACTGACTTGTTTACTTGTGTCTTCAGTGTGGCTTTCTTATTCAGTGCCGTAGGTGAGTAACTACTTATAGTGTACAAGTGAGGAACTGATTCCCTGTCAGGGTCCACTCACAATCTTGCAGTTACAGTGGGAGCAATCACAAAACTGTAATTTATATAAAATCTCCTTTCTGACTCCAATCCACCTAACGGAGAAAAACAAGCAATAATTTTTAAGCAACCTCTCAAAATCTGTTTTGATTTTTGTCATTTTTAAAGGCCTTTTTGGAAGAGGAACAAGTTTTAAAGTCCTCTTCTAATATATAAAATAGGGGATATTGTAAGAAACATACTGCAGACTTCTGAGAGGTGAAGTCCTATAGGGGAAAAGAGTACATTCCCACAGCACTGTCAACATAAAAGGTTTACATTTTTGTTCTTGCTCCCAGATATCTATCAGTACAAAAAAACACAAAATACAAAACTAAACAGTATCATCTACTCATGGGATGTTGTTGTGTTAGACACAGTCTGAAAGCCCACCTTGATTTTTTATATAATTCTGTCTTTCAGCTCTTCCTTTCACAGGGCAGGCCTTGTTCTGAACTGTTCTAGCTTCTGACTGTTAAATACCAATGCATGCACTGCACTTCCTTGATTTCTTTCCCTTCCTCTCCTTCTGTATCTCTTTTCTTTTCCAATAGATTAGATTCATCTATTGTGCTGTATATAGAGCAACAAATAATATTCAGCAGTTGTGGCATTTATGTATAGTTGCAGTTGTGTACTGCTGAAAATGCAGGCTTTTGTAACGATGTGATCTTTAATAACGCACTACAAGTACCCAATGTATTTTAGCTATTTTAGTAGGATTTGTTCAATAAATATGCAAGCTCTAATGGTAACTGTGATGTCTCTGCTTCTTTATTCTAACATGAGTGCTCCTTTAATTAGTTTTCAACCTGTTCTTTACATGACTATTAATTTTTTTCAGGAATATTGGGTGATGCAAAAGTTGATTCCTTTTGTTGCCTTCTAAACAATAGCCATTAAGGTAACTGAAGTGATCTGGGAATAATCATAGAATTGCAGAATTATTGAATCACCAATATTGGGAAAGACCTCTAGGACCGTTTAGTCCAACCCCATCCACCTATCACCAGTATTTCCCTCTAATCCATGTCCCTCAGTACAACATCTAAACATTTCTTGAACAACTCCAGGGACAGTGACTCCGTTCCAGTGCCTGGAGATGAAGTATTTCCTAAAGTCCAACCTGAATCTCTCCTAGTGCAACTCGAGGCCATTCTGTTTAGCCCTATTGCTAGTTACATGGGAGAGGAGGCTGACCCCCACCTCACCACAAACTCCCTTCAGCTATTTATAGAGAGCAATTAGGTCACACCCAAGCCTCCTCTTCTCCAGAATAAAGAACCCAGCTCCCTCAGTTGCTCTCTGTGAGATGTGCTCCAGATCCCTCACCAGCTTCATTGCCTTTCTCTGAACATGCTCTAGGGCCTCAATGTCTTTCTTGTAGTGAGTGGACCAAAACTCAATACACACTCAAGGTGCGGCGTCACCTTGAGTATAGAAGGATGATCACTTCCCTGCTCCTGCTGGCAACACTATTTCAGATACAAGCCGCGATGCCATTGGCCTTCTTGACTGCCTGGGCACACTGCTAGCTCATGTTCAGCTGAGTGTTAACCAATACTTCCAGGTCTGGTTCCTCTACAAAGTCTTCCAGCCTCTCTGCCCCAAGCCTGTATTGTTGCCAGGGGTTGCTGTGGCAAAATGCAGGGCTCAGTATATGGTCTTGCTGAACTTCATCCCATTGGCCACAGCCCTGTAGTCTAGATTGTCCAGATCTCTCTCTAGGCCTTCTTACCACAAGGTAAATCAACACTTTATCCCACTTTAGTGTCATCTGCAAACATACTGAGGGTGTACTCAATCCCATCATTCAGGTCATCAGTAAAGATACTGGATAGGACAGGCCTCAAAACTGACCCCTGGGGAGTACTACTAGTGCCTGGTCACCAGCTGGTTGTGACTGCCAGTTATCACCTCTAACTGGGTCCAGCCAACCAGCCAGTTCTTTACACAGAAAAGAGTGTACCTGTCCAAGCCATGGGCTGCCAGCTTCTCCAGGAGAATACTGCTGGGGACAGTGTCGAAGACCTTGCTGAACTGATGGCTGCTGGACAACTGTATTCATGTGCTTCTCTTTTAAGCCTGCTGAGTTAGATGCAAGTCTTGATAATATTTTTAATAATTTCTGGAGGAGACTGACATTATATGTGTGGAAAATACAGTACATCTCATTTTCCACTTCTTATGAATCCAGTTAAAATGGTATTTTTTCAGTATGTTCAGTGAAGTTTGAAAGGACACCAGTATACTCCTCTCTTTTAAAAGCAGTGTTGTTGGAGGAAAAAGCATGCTGTGTTTAGAACTGCTGTGTTTAGAATATGGAATACAAAGTGCTTAGAATTTGCTGTGTTTAGAATACAGAACACAGATTCCATTTTAGCATAGGGAACAGTTTTTTTAGCATAGAACACATTTTCTATAAACACAGGCAATGATCTTCCAGTTGATACCAGATATGGTCTGGCTCTCAAGTTTTCAAGTCTTGAGACCAAATGAGAGCAATTCCGTATACCATAACTGTTTATTCCACTAAAGGAATTTACATCAGGACAGAGTTTGATGCCTTTGGTTGTGTCACAGAAATCTGATCATGTACCACCACTTTCTGATCTAAATGGCCAGTGATCTCACTGCTGTGTAGGAAACACCACAGATGGCAATTTTTCCTTATCTATGTGAACACCTTTATATCTATCTATACACCTACTGCAGACTGGCAGCCTCCTCCTAAATCCTTACAGGCAAGTAGCCAATCCAGCTTCTCACTTGCAGGACAGAGGGCTTGATAACCCACGAGAGAAAAGTGACTGGACTCTGGTATCTGTTTGAAAGAGGCATCTGCCCCAACACCCACAGTGTTACCAACCCCTGCAGTGTCCCTGCATATTAAATTCAGGGTTCTCAGGCTAGAAAGCCATGAGGGTTTGCAAAGTGGTCCAAACCCAGGCCCTGTGAAGCACATCAAGAATGCAGGAAGTAACGAGCATAGAGAGCAGGGCCAGCTGGGGGCACTACATTAATACCAGTGCCATGAAGAAAGGGCAGAGAGTCTTAGTAACAGGGACTCCTTGCTGGGAGGCACTAAGGCTTTCATTTGCTGCCCAGATAACCTCTCCAGAGAAGTGTGCTGTCTTCCAGGGGCACGTGTTAGAGACATTAGGAAGGCTCTACCACGGCTCATTAAACCAGAAGGCTACTATCCTTTCATTGTCATTCAGGCTGAGTCCCAGGATGCTGCAATGAGGAAATTGAAGAATGTTAAAATGGGCTTTGCATCTGTTGGAAAGATGTTGGAGGTGTTCCTCAGGGGTCTGTGCTGGGTCCAGTCTTGTTCAACATCTTCATCAATGACCTTGATGAGGGGATAGTGGCCACCCTCAGCAAGTTTGCTGATGATACGAAGTTGGGAGGATTGGCTGACATGCCTGAAGGCTGTGCTGCCATTCAGCAAGATCTGGACAGGCTGGAGAGCTGGGCAGAAAAAAACCAGATGAGGTTTAACAAAAGCAAGTGTAGAGTCTTGCATCTGGGGAGGAATAATTCCATGCACCAGTACAGGTTGGGGGATGACCTGCTGGAGGGGAGCCCTGCGGAAAGGGACCTGGGTGTCCTGGTGGATGACAGGTTGGCCATGAGCCAGCAGTGTGCCCTTGTGGCCAAAAAGGCCAATGGCATCCTGGGGTGCATTAAAAAGAGTGTGGCCAGCAGGTCGAGGGAGGTGATCCTGCCCCTCTACTCTGCCCTGGTAAGACCTCATCTGGAGTACTGTGTCCAGTTCTGGGCACCCCAGTACAAAAAAGACAAGGATCTCTTGGAAAGAGTCCAGCGGAGGGCCACGAAGATGGTGAAGGGCCTGGAGCATCTCACCTATGAGGAAAGGCTGAGTGATCTGGGTCTGTTCAGCCTTGAGAAAAGAAGACTGAGAGGGGACCTGATCCAGGTCTATAAATATCTGAGGTGTGGGGGGCAGAATGGCGAGGCTAGACTGTTTTCAGTGGTGAGTGGAGACAGGACAAGGGGAAACGGCTGGAAACTGCAGCATAGGAAGTTCCGCACAAATGTGCGCAAGAACTTCTTTACAGTGAGGTGACGGAGCACTGGAACAGGCTGCCCAGGGAGGTGGTGGAGTCTCCTTCTCTGGAGATGTTCAAGACCTGCCTGGATGCCTACCTGTGCGATCTGCTATAGGGAACCTGCTTTGGCAGGGGGGTTGGACTCGATGATCTCTGGAGGTCCCTTCCAACCCCTACGATTCTGTGATTCTGTGATTCTGTATGAGGGGTGGGATCAGTGAGCATAAATCTGTGGATCTTGATAAGATGCATCCATGTGTTTCTGAGGGAGCTGGCAGAGGTGATTGCTGAAACACTCTCTATCATCTTTGGCCAGTCTTGGAAAACAGGAGAGGTACCTGAAGACTAGAGGACAGCCAATGTCACTCTGGTCTTCAAGAAGGGCAAGAAGAATGATCCGGGAAACTACAGGCCAATCAGTCTCACCTTCATCCCTGGAAAGGTGATAGAACAGCTTGTTCTAAACCCCACCTCCAAGCAATTGGAAGAAAAGAAGTTTACCAATATTCGGTATGGATTCACCAAGGGGAATCGTCTTCAACCAACCTCAAAGCCTTCTGTGATGTCATCACTGGCTAGGTAGATGGGGGAGAGCAGTGGATGTAATCTATCTTGGATTCAGCAAAGCATCTGATACTATCTCCAATGACATCCTGATGAAGAAGCTGAGAAAGTGTGGGATAAATGAGTGAATGGTGAGGTAGCTGAGAACTGGATGAGCTCAGAGGGTTCTGATCAGTGGCACAGAGTCCAGTTGGAAGCCTAAATTAAGCAGTATTCTCCAGGGGTCAGTGCTGGGTCCAGCCTTATTCCATATCTTCATCAACAACCTTGACAAGTGGATAGTGTCCACTGTCAGCAAGTGCACCAGCAATAAAAAGCAGGGAGGAGTGTCTGACATGCCAGAAGAGGAGGAGTGTCTGACATGCCAGAAGACTGTGCTGCCATCCAGCAAGACATGAACAGGCTGGAGAGTTGGCAGAAGGAACCAGATGAGGTTTAACAAAAGCAAGTGTAGAGTCTTGCACCTAGGGAGGAATAACTGCAAGTATCAGTACAGGTTGGGGGATGAGCTGCTGGAGAGGAGCTCTGCAGAGAGGGACCTGGGGGTCCTGGTGGATTACGGGTTGGCCATGAACCAGCAGTGTGCCCTTGTGAACAAAAAGGCCAATGGCATCCTGAGGTATATTAAAAGGAACATGGTCAAGAGAGGTGATCCTCCCCTCTACTCTGCCCTGGTCAAGCCTCACCTGGAGTACTGTGTCCACTTCTGGATTCCCCTGTACAAATAAGAGATCTGGAGAGAGACCAGTAGAGGGCCACAAAGATGATAAAGGTCTGGAGCATCTCCCCTGTGAGGAAAGGCTGAATGACCCGGGTCTGTTTAGCCTTTTGAAAAGAAGACTGAGAGAGGATCTGATCAGTGTTGATAAATATCTAAGTTGCAGGAGGCAAAGAGATGAGGCCAGAATCTTTTCAGGGGTTCACAGAGATAGGACAAGGGGAAATGGACAGAAACCGGAGCATAGGAAGTTCTGCACCAATATATAGAAGAACTTTTCCACACTGAGGGCGATGGAGCGCTGGAACAGACTACCTAGGGAGGTTGTGGAGTCTGAGGAATACCTCAGGAATATCTTAAGTCTTGAGGAATACCTCACTGGAGGTATTCAAGACTT